CACTTCCAAATCAGGGATTTATTGTACTAGAAAAAAAGTGTTATGAATTCATATGATTTTTGTTAGTTATCTAACTATAATCAGTGGTGTTCTTACCTCTGAAATTAAAATCTCACTTCTAAAGGTAAATTGCTAGCCCATGCGGTTTCCAAAGGAAAAAAAAAAAAAAGTGGACCAGAACAATCAAAAACCAGGTGACTTTAAAAACAAAAAACAAAAACATGTTTACAATTGCTGTTGTCTCACATAATTGGCCAATTCACGGCAAAACAAAACAAAACAAACAAAAAGCTTGAATTTGAAATCCTCACTGTCCTTTGTAGAACTGAAAATGAGAGAAAATTCGGCGGTTTGCAAACAGAGCATAGTGTAATCGAGGAGCCAGGGAGTACCCATGAGGATAAGCAGGATGCTTCCGAGCATCGCTGGCCCTCTCTTTTTAATAGCGGCTGCCAAAAATCCCGTAGGTGCTTCCCAACACAGCCTTGTACCTTGATTTTTCCCCTTCCTTTGGAAAAAGCGATGCATGGCATTTTAATATGTGCTAAAGCCCTAAGAGCAGGTCACAAAGATGGTAAGAGAGCAAGAAAACCCCTTTTCCCCCTAGCACTGCCCTTCCCCGATGACCCTTCACCACAGCACCCAGGACCACTCACCCTTGGCAGCCTGAAACTGGGGCAGGGAGGCCGCCTGCCCTGCTCCCCTCGTCGTGCATCTCCTCCCGCACAGCCTCCCCAGGACCAGGGCCACCAGAGCTTGGGCTGCAGGCAGAGATTTAAGCCTTTCCCCACTGACTGAGCACCGCCAATGGGCTGCCCGGCTCCTGGATTAAGCAGCAGCACCGGTTTCCCAGACAGCTTTTATGGGTGCTCACCCAGCCGCGCAAATCCCCCCAGCCCAGCCGTGGAGCGGCGCCGGGATTTAAGAGCTCTTTTTGTCCTGGGACCGATCCTCTGGGAGGCAAGGGTGGGAAGAGGACGGGGTGGGTGTGATTCAGCACATGCAGCTCTAACATCTGGGGATAGAGGTGCTCAGAAAAGGGGTCCAGCTCTAGCAGGGGACAGGGAGTTTTGAGGTTTCACCAACACATGTGTTGGAGACAAGCAGATGGGAATGGGGCACGTCCCCCCTCAATCAGGGGACCCTGCTGATAATGACCTTCCAACTGGGGGTAACACATGACCCATCTCAGGCAGCAAGGAATGGCTAAAATTGCCCCAAATTCTAAGAAAGCAGCCAGCCTAGAATACCACAAACCTGGGAAACCAGGAGCATCTTCTTGTTGACTCACCTCCATCCTCCTGGAAAAGAGAGTCCCTCTTCAGTGTAAAGAAACTGCTGTTTTCCTGCCCTGATTTCCCAGTGCTAAGAAACTCTGGGACGTGGGTCCTTTTGCTGCCACCAGCCTTTGGGTGTAGGGTTTTGTGTCCTGTGCCGTGGACTGAGCAACATCTCACGGTGCCCAGGCAGTGCCATGAGACCATAACATATCTGCACACCATGGCATAGGACGCACCAGGTCCACAGGACATGATTAACACAAAATTCGCCTGCAGAGGAGCAACGGGGACTGAAAACTAACTCAAAAGTTTGTCTGCAGAGTTGCAACATGTGGCTGTCAGAGGATGCTGCTTTTGCTGGCTGGGAGGGGATGTTCTCCGGAGCACCACTCCCTTGGGTGAGCAAAGGGAGAGCCAGGAGCCTGGCACAACTTGCACCAGAGGCTTTCCCTCTCCCTCTGGCTCGTGCAAACCCCGTGCAAGCAGAGCTGAGCTCAGGTCCCGTTACACAACCCCACAAGAGGTGCACCCGGCAGCACAAAGGGCTTTGCTTAGCAGCTGTGTTTGCTCAGGACGGCTGATTTTGGGAGCAAAGCCGATGACATGTGGTTGGCCGGGCAGCCTGGGAGATCGGTGCTGAGCTTGCAGCTTCCTTTTTTAATAGGTGACTCAGGCACTCAGTAGCTCACTGGGGTTGGAGGTTGGAGCCAGGCTACGAAGGAGTGCCGGCTGCGGCCGTGGTGGACACCAACAGGTGGGTAGCGTGGTTTCTCTGTAGGATAAAGAGATTTAAATAGAAAGCAGAGATAACAGAGCTGCCATGTTACTGGAGAGATGGGGTTTTCTCAGGGGAAGGAGGGAGAACGCACTTTGCTAGGAATTTGTTTTCTGTTTCCTGGGAATTGGCTCTTAATTGCAGCACAAAGAGCCCTGTAATATTACTTTCTGCAGAAGGCAGAGCAGTGATTTATGGGCAATAGCTGAACATGAAGTGACTGAATTTTTAGATGTGTATTTAAGAGTCTTTTCCCCCATTCTCTTTCCTTTCCCCTTCTTCTCCCCATGTCTAGACAGGTCGGTGAGTAGAGGTGAAGATGAGGAATGATTTTCTTCCATTGCAGGGCTTATTATCTCTGAACCCTACAGCTTAGGGTTGATTATCTCAGAACACCACATCTGAGCCCAAGCCTGGTGCCAGGAGGGGCGTACTCTTCCTCCCCACGTTTAGTTGAGGGGAGCAATTTTCTTAAACGGGGTCCCCCAAAAAACAACTCCATCCCTCCCTGTTCACCCAGGGCACAGCAGATGGGGCAGAGGGGCTGCCTCTGGACCTGAGCTACAAGCACAGAGCAAAGGAGGAGCTGAAGGGACCCCAGGAGCTGCTCCTGAGGGATATCCTTCCCATGGTACACGCAGTGTGCAGTTTGTCTGGTGCCAGGCACTGGCACAAAGGAGGGCTCGGCAAGGAGGCATGGCAGAGAGGAGCATTTACCGTGTCCTTTGCTTAGAAAGTGGCACTGTAGGTGGGAGATCTCAGGTGCTGTTTTCTTCCCTTTTAGCTCCTGGGGATGCTTTAATGATCAAAACACTGGGGTTTAAATCTCTGGGTCCACAGTCAACCAGTAGTAGAAGTAGTAGTAGTCAACCAGCATCAGATAGGACATGTCCCTCAGCTCTCTGATGGATGCCCATGGGTGCCAGCAGAGCCCTTTTCTCCAGCAAGGCAGAAACGAAGAGCCCAGCACAGGTCTCAGACTGGGTCTCCATGCTCTCAGTCTCCCACAGAAGTCAGACAATAAATAACACACCCTGTCGGCACAGCACCCTTTGGCTTTGCTTTAGCATCTTCAGCTGGGAAGTCCTTGAGACGCTCCGGGTGCTGCTTGGGTGCCATTAGCCACATGCACGTGACAGCCAGGCTCTCTCGTTAGTAAAATGAAGTGCTGTTCTTCCTCTCTTATCTATAATTAGCCATTTAAAGGGTGGCAACAGCCTGTTTTGTCAGGCAGAGCCTCATGGAGCAGTGCAGCACCCGACGCCTGCCCAGCTGCTGCCAGCAGCCCCTGTCTAAGGCAGGCAGCAGTTAATTACATCCATCATTAAAGCAGAAACCCCGTGGCCTTTCATCCATCCGAGCTAAAGGATGAGAGAAGAGGCAGCTCTGAGGCTGGGCTGTTTTCCACTGCTGGAAAGCTTCATCCAGCTGCATCCGTGGCTGTTCTTTGTGCAGCATCTCCCCACCACGGGCCAGTACAGATAATTTTGGGACAGGAGTGGTACCCATGGCCTGGGGTGCAGGGGACCATTAAACATTACCAGCCCAGCTCTAGGACGTGGGGATGCTTTTGCTAAGCTCTCAGCACTCAAGTGGTTAAGTGTAGCAGTGCTGGTGTCAGCCAAAGCAGGCTCTCTGCCTTGCTGTGAAGAGCTCCCACCTCCTACAGGGAGTTTTTAGGAGCTTTTTCACTGTGGCCATGCCCTTACCGAGGGCTTGGTGTTCTCATTTTCCCAGCCAGAAAGCAATTGTGCTTGGTTTTCTTTCTGCTCTAAAGATAGTAAGGTCATCTTTTCCCTAGCCCTCACCTTTGCTCTTACTGGGAAGTTTTGCCAAACCTCCTTACCTTGCAAGGAAGAAAGCTTCTGGCTTCCAGATGGATTGGACCTCATTTGCCTTTCCAGTAGGCAATTCAGCAGTAGTAGGAGAAAGAAAGAAAAAAAAAAAAAAAAAAGAGAGAGATTCCCTGGCAAGATTTATCAAGATTTATCAAAGACCTCTTCAAAGCTTGCTGCACCTAATTCAGCACATGCTTCAGTGCTATTCTCACAGGGCATGGCCATGTTAAGGAAAGACCGTGAAATCCCAAGTACCTGTGCTGGCTATTACTTCACTTTCTGTTTTCATGTAAGGAAATGTGCCTCAGTCCTCCCAGCAAAGGGAGAAGCCCTCTGCAGTGGATAGAGGGGTTTGTGTTAGCATCAGCACTGTCTCCTCTAAAACTGGGTGTCCCAGCAATGCCTTGACCCTCTCCTCCTCATTTCTAAGGTACTGATCATCTTGAAAAGCCAGGCATCCAGTCAAAGTCTTGAGCAGAGGGGGAAAAATCTGATATCTTACAGTTTCACAGCCTATCTGAAGATGTACCAGATCTGCCCCAGCTCTGCCTCTATCTCCACTGGCTATGGACGGATAATTAATTTTGTTTTGGTGTTTAACCTGCAGACAGCAGAAATCAGGGGAAGAAGCCCCATATTTACATGGTGACTTAGGGGAAAAAAAAAAAAAAAGGAAAAAAAAAAGGAGAGACATTAAGGATTTTTTTTCTGTTTCCTCCCCTCATGTCCTGCTTATCTCTGGCAGAACCAGGCAGCTACGTCTGCAATGCTTCCAGCTGCTTCTGCATGGATCCAGCCTTGGTTTTGCATCAGAATGCCTGGGCACCTGCAGAAGCAGCTGGAACCCAGGATGAAAGAAACACCCGCCGGTGTCTGACCATCCCAGTGGGGTCCCTCTGCACTTATCTCAATGCCTGCTTGGTGCTGTGGACTAAAACGTCTGTCTCACGGGAACTGGTATTTCATCTGAAGCACCAGCTCCTGGAATCCTGTTAGCACATAATGTTAACTGTTGTCACTCCAAAATAAAAGCAAAGCCAATCTCCTTTGGTATTTCACAAAAAAAAAAGCTGGAAAATCTTACCTCAAAACCCAGAAAACAAAGGAAAGAGTCATTAACTTCATTTACAAAATCTCATGGTTTGGGGACTGCGATTTGAGGGCAAAGAACACCGGAACTGCGGCAGTGTTTGCAATGTGCACATATTAAAAAGTATATCAGCCCTTTCCTGGCTGTGCAAAGACTGGATTTGTGGAGAGCGAGCCCATTGTTCAAACAGAAAGCATTGCAAATACCGCTCTAAATCCGAATGCAGCAGTGCAAGCCTGCAAAAAGAGAGAAGCTTCTCGTGTTTTGGCAGTGGTAACAGAGAAATGACAGCTCTGGCTAACCCGGAGGGCTAAGAAGCAGTACACAAGTGCAGGGCTCTCTGTACGTCTGTGGTGGGATATAGGAGGCAGAGCTGGCCATCCTGCTCGCACCTAGTGGAGCGATGCAAAAAGAAGTTTTTCAGTGGGGATTTGGAGTTGTCCTGTTGTTGGGAAAGTGAAGCCATCTGTATTTGAGCCATTCATTTTGATACATCCTCAGGGGGAGTGGAAGCCCGGGCTCTTAAGGGGATGGAGATCATGGGAGGGAGTGAGGGAGCATGGGCTGGGTACGGGCTGGCCACGCGTGACTGCTCTAGCCAGTGGTCCCTCTGCACACCTCTGGTCTGGCTGATAGCTCACCCCCTCCCAAAATAGCTGTTTCTTCATGAACTAGACAGGAACATCCCCAGCTGGAGTCATCTCCATGGGAGGCAGCTGAACAAAGGCCGGAGGAATGCCAAATATCTCAGGAATGCCATGCTGGGCCCCAGTAGGCCTCACGGGGGGCTGGTGCAGCTCAGCTCATCACATCTCTAAGCTAAGAGAAGGGCTCATTCCTCTGGCTCTGCTGCAGACCCCAAGCTATGTCTGTGGGCAAGTCTCGTAGCCTCATCATCTCTTGGTTTCCTGAAAGGAAGAGATGAAGATAAATGGGTATAACTGCTTGTGAGACATGCTGACAGCAGGGGGAAGCGGTCACGGAGCAAAAACAGTAGGAATTGGCTTAAGTTCAACACGCATAGCTCCTTCACATCCAGACTTGTTTCGTTTTGGTGATAGCCTCATCTAGGGATGCAGGGGTGGGTGCAGGATCTGTGCCACAGGCAGGACAGTGGCATCAGGCCGCTGCCTGGTGGGTTGCTCTCAGGTCCCACCATCCATTCTGACATGGGGGCAGTGCAAATGCCCACGTTTTCTCCCTAAAAAAAAAAGGCATGATGGTAAATTTGGGGAGAGGAGCCACCACCTGGGGGTTCAGGAGGAATGGGTGCGCAGATAGCAGCTCATGGAGGAGATGTGCCCTGCTTTCACCATGCCATCATGCCCGTGGAAACACAACTCACCGCGCCCACCGGTCTCTGTTTCAGATGAGAGGACGCGGTCATTTTTAGACGTCTCAGACAGCACAAGGCGCATACTCCAGCAAGGACGAGGGAGGTGCTCTTCGCTCTCCGTGAAGGAGCTGTCGGCTCGCTACCTCTCCCAGGCAGCTGCTGCTGCTGCTCACGGCGGCCCCGCACAGCCGGTAAGCGCCGCGGCATCCCAGCTATGTCCCATCCCAGCCAGGGGCCGTGGGAGGGTGAGGGAGAACACGTCTGGTTTCACAATGCTGGAGGAACACAGCATTTCTTTTCCAAGAATGACCAGACCTCCTTGGTTTTTGCATATATCATTTAAATATAGCACATAAATAGCATATAAATATATAATGTAAAAATTCCATGCTGTAAGAGGTGCTGGTATGCATTGTGTCTATATATGATGTACATGCTGCATATACATACAGACACATTCATATATGTACACATACAAACACATGCCCAAACATGCATACACACATCTACCTCCACTACCCCATGCATACATGTTTGTTCATTATTAGATATCCAATATTTGCATGTACATGTTTGCACACTCACATCCACGCAGCAACACGTACACCTCCGTGCTATACCCATTCCAACGCACAAATCTGGTGGGTCCCAAATTTGCCCCTTGTAGGGAGGTGGAAATGGGAGCATCAGCAGAGGATCCAGTGAGTCATCCAGCCCAAAGTGATCATTGGGTCATAGGATAGCTCATGTTGTACATGGTATGAAGCACTAAGCTACGTTTGTCCCTCTTGCCTGGCTCTGCTGATCATCCAGGAGTACCATGGGATGTGATTTCACTTCTGGACTTCTGCAGGCTCATCCTTGCTCCCTTCCACTCTCAACCATCTGCAGGGTCCTTGACTGGAGACGCAGTCTCTTGAGCAGGGATCAGGGCTCTGGACTGGAGGAGTCCAGAATGAAGCACTCCCAGCTGAAAATAAATAGGTGGAGACTGTAATTGGAGAATTACAACTACAACGTAGCAAGTTACAGCTCTTAAAGGCTGCCCCATGATCCATTCCCATGTTGGACTGAGGCTACGCAGGGAACATGTCCTGCTCAGCAATGTACAAATAGTCCATACAGCTTGATGAGAAATGTTTCTTTACCAGAAATGTCCCATCATCAGAATCTATACAAAATGAAACTTTCCATTTAATCTGCACTGCAGTAAGGTGTTCTGGTTGGGAAAGAAAAATAAAAGTCTGAGAAAAAATAATTATTACTATTTCAGACAATATTTTATTATATTAATTATTATTATTTTCAACAATTTTTCAATGAGCTTTAATTTCACAATTCATAATGCCATTACAAATGTAGATATGTTTTGTCTTAAAAATATTGATGTATAAAGAAAAATATTGGCCAAATCAAGCTTTGGAGAAATCAGTGGTTTTTGTTTATTTTTCTTCTGACTCTGAATGAATGTGTCCAGGTTTCATTTGTCCACTGAAATTTGCAGAAAAAAATATTTCTGCTCAACCTGAGATAAGAGCTGTCAGCGATTCAAAAACCCTCACCTGTAATGGTTTCCAGCTCCCGATAATAGACACATATATGTACAGATATCGTATGTGTCTGCCTATGCAGTTTGATGTCATTTCTCCCTGTGTCTTTTCCAGACGACTGTGAAGGACAGCTCCACTCCTTCTTCTGACAGACAGAAAACAAGCAAGGTAAGAAGTGTTACAGATAAGCACCCTTATCTAACCGCATATTTGTGGACTGTGGTGGAGTGTGATTTATACACCCATGCCAGGCAGCAAGGAGTGCTTTCATACTGAATATAGCTATCAGCTGCTCAGCTGCCTTTCCCCACATTTAGAAGTTCTGAACAGATTCAAAAAAAAATATTTTAAAAATTGCATTCAAAGTATGTTGGTTCATATGAACAATTTGCATTTGACACTTGCTGCGAAATATGCTGATTTTGGTATTCTGGTGTTTTGTCTTGTTGGTTTGTTTTTAGTTTTTCTTTTTACTAATGTTCAATACTTATTTTTAGCCAGAACAATCTGTGTGTTAACAGAGTGAAATAACATCGCGCGCCAGTGCTTTGAGCAACAACTAATAATATTCCAGGCATAACTCTACAGACGTAACTCTAAAGGCATGCCAAGGATTAGCAGATCTGTTTACTGAAAGGAAAGCCACCAGGATTATAGTCCTTTTTAGATAATGATTATAGGCTTCAAATACCTTCCCTTTGGATAAATGTCAATCCAGTGCAGGTCACAGGTATTCAGTTCGGTATTCGGCTGATATGTGGTGAAAATTCCCAAGTTAAGGAGAAAAATGCAGAAAGTAAGACTCAAATGTAGGCTAAACAGCCAGTCCAGCCCATCATGACTGCAACTTTCGTTCAGTGCTGTACCAGCATTGCTCTGAAATCCAGCTGAATTCAGTCTGAGTGCGTCCAAACATAAACTGAGTTAGTTCACAGGCTAAGGGAGCACAATTAGAGAAGAATAATGCTTGAAAGAAAGGCTTAAAAGAATAGGAATTAAAAACAACTGCACTGTGACATGATCTAACAATGATATATTGCCTTCAGGCTCCATAGCAGGTGAATTACTCGTTCTTACAGGACAGGCTAAATGTGAGCAGTCTTAAGGGGACATCAGTTAGCCTCATGCCTGTCCAAGTGTCCAAGTCAAAAAAGTTTTACTTCAGTCTCTAACTGTGGAACCATCCATCTATTTTTATACAAATGATGCTGTGGGGTACATGCGGTGAGTCCAGCAGAAGAAATCATCATTCAAACATCCTTTCCCAAGCCCTCACTCCTGTGCCATGGACAGCTCTGGAGGTGTTACCAAAAACCCATCACACTAGCTGCCTGCCCCAAAATAGGATGTCCTCATCAGCTCACTTTCACACTTTTATTTGGTTCCCTCTCACCGTTTTATCCCTGAGACCTCTTCACAAATAGCTCCTTGGTTTTTCCTGGGGCCATATCAAATGCAAACTCTTTTTAGGATCCCACACTGCCCTGAACACTTGGGAGCAGGAGGCAGAAGTTCTCTCTTATTTTGCTACTCAGAGATAAGCTTCTTTACATTATCCTTGTGGTCGATCTCTCTTGCTGACAGTACAAATTGGGCCTCTCTGTTGCGCTGTAGCTGGATGGAAACCTGGAGAGTGTAGACTAACCACTGAGCATGCTCGGATTAGAGACCTTGCTTTAGAGCACATTGCTGTGGAACCAGATCTAACACCGAGACTGGAGTGTGTGCAGTGGTGTGATGCTTTGTAGTGCTGTGTGCTACTGAACCCAAGGTATGGAGCTCAGCAAGTGCATGGATTTCCCTTGCTGGGCTGGCTTTTACATTTGCCGTTCTCACTACTAATGGCCACTGGGCTCTGGGGTAAGAGATGATGCTGACGTTTACAACTGTTTCCCTAAAGATGGCAGAGGCTCAGAAATCATCTCAAGTTGCCATCAAGAAAATGGAAGAGGACTTACCTCCCCCTCCTGCCCTTGGCTCTGTCCAGGTCATCCCTCCAGGGAGCCAGGATCCCAACCCACTCCCTGTGCCTCCCCCAAAGCAAGCCTTCTCCAAGTTCTACCAGCAGCGGCAAGTGAATGAGCTGAAGAGGCTCTACAGACACATGCATCCTGAGCTCAGGAAGAACTTGGAAGAAGCAGTGACCGAGGACCTGGCAGAAATGCTTAATGCCGAAGATCCCAATGCACAGGGATCTGTGAACCTGGACAAAGTTCTTCCAGGAGAGGTTCAGTCCATGCGCTGGATCTTTGAGAACTGGGCACTTGACTCTATTGGGGACCACCAAGCCACAAAGAAGCTGACAGAGGAAGAGATCATTCCTGGTGGGGATGTGAAAAGTACTTCCCTGAGGTTTGAAAGCCAGTCGATCAACGGGGACAGTCTGTCAACACCAGCCAAAGATTCAGAGACAGACCTTGCTAGAGGGGATGTGCATACTGCCCGGTGGCTCTTTGAAACCCAGCCTCTAGACTCGTTAAACAAACTGTACTCAGATGAAACTGAAGTGCAAGAGGCAGTCCTCAAGGAGCCTGTCCAGGGAGGTGACGTGAAAGGTGCCAGAGAACTCTTTGAAGCCCAGTCCTTGGATGCTATCGGCCGCTGCTGCTCGGTGGAGGAGAAGAGCATCCTGCAGCTCAAGTCAGAAATCCAGGAGCTAAAAGGCGATGTCAAGAAGACCATCAGGCTCTTCCAAACAGAGCCCCTCTGCGCCATCAGGGACAAAACTGGGAACATCCATGAAATCAAGTCTGTCTGCCGAGAAGAAATTCAGAGCAATGCAGTCAGAACCGCTCGCTGGCTGTTTGAGACTCAGCCACTGGACACCATCAACAAGGACACTTCCAAAGTGCAAATAATCCGTGGGATCTCCCTGGAAGAAATAGGAAGGCCAGATGTCAGTGGAGCAAGGTGGATATTTGAAACTCAGCCTCTGGATGCCATCAGAGAAATTACTGTTGAAGAACAGGATTTCAAAGCTTCCACGGACTTTGTCACGGGGGCAGATGTCAGTAAACAGCGATTACTCTTTGAGACCCAGACTCTTGATTCTCTGAAGGGAGAAGATTCAGAAACTGTTGCAGCTAAAGAACAAGTCATTGGAGGTGATGTGAAATCTACACTCTGGCTCTTTGAAACCCAGCCCATGGAAACCCTGAAAGACAATTTTGAGGTGGGACGTTTGAAGAAAGTAGAGCTTTCAGCAGAGGAGAAGGGAGATGTGAAACAAAGAAAACATGTCTTTGAGACCTGTCCCCTTGGCAGCATCTCTAAGTCATTTGAGGAAGAAACTTCAGAAACCAGCAGGGAAGAGGTGGTGAAAGGGGACGTGAAGTCTTTCAAGACACTGTTTGAGACTCTCCCTTTAGACAGCATTAAGGAGGCTGATGCTGAGCCCATCACCAAGGAAGAGGAGAAGATTCCAGCTGGCAATGTGAAAGCTAACCAAATCCTGTTTGAGACTACACCTCTATATGCCATCAAGGATAGCTTTGGCAATTTTCATGAAGTCACCTCTGTAAGCAGAGAGCAGGTCATCAGTGGTGATGTCAAGAACTACAAATGGATGTTTGAAACCAGGCCTCTGGACCAGTTTGATGAAAGCACCAAGAAAGTGGACATAATACGGGGAATCACAAAACAGGAGGTGGTGGCTGGTGACGTGAGAACAGCCAAGTGGCTCTTTGAAACTCAGCCCATAGATGTCATCCATCACCAAGCCATGCAAGGTGAGGAACACTCCTCCGTGAAGCGGGAGATCTCCCAGCGGGGGGATGTAAAGACTTGTAGGTGGCTTTTTGAGACCCAGCCCATCCACACCTTGTATGAAAAGTCTGAAAAGAAACAGGAAGAGGATGTCTGTGTGCCCCAAGCTGATGTGAAGTCATACACATGGATGTTTGAGACTCAGCCCCTGGACTCCCTGAAAGGCCAGGAGGAGCAGTATTTGAAAGTCAGTAAAGCCTACAGTCAGGAGGAATTACAGGGAGTTGATGTCAAGACTGTCCGGCATCTATTTGAGACCGAACCCTTGGGCAGCAGCACCATCAGTGAAGCTGACCAAAAGAAAACCATGCGGTACTCCAGCCGTGTGGAGATACAGTCTGGAGAAGTGTCCAGAGTGAAGGAGTTCTTTGAGGCTAAGCCCTTGGATACAACAACTAAACCAACAGCAGTCGTCAAGGATGACGGGACAATTGAAGCTGGGTCTGTGCACAAATTCACTTGGCTCTTTGAGAATTATCCCATGGATTCCCTGAAGGACAGCTCTGAAGGCATCCAGGAAATCCCTCCAGAGAAAGATATCAAGGGGGGAGATGTTGGAGGCAAGAGGTTCATATTTGAGACCTACTCCCTTGACCAAATCCATGACAAAGTAGATGAGACAGAGCTCCAGAAGATCCAGAAGGACACCATGAGCAAAGCTAATGTCAAGTCTTGCACAATGCTCTTTGAAAGCCAGCCCTTATACGCTATCCAAGACAAGGAGGGGGGATACCATGAGGTCACCTCAGTGCAGAAAGAAGAAATCATGAAAGGTGACGTGAAAGGTGCACGGTGGCTGTTTGAAACGAAGCCTCTGGATCAGATCAAAAAGGAAGAAGAGGTGTTTGTGATTAGGGCTGTCACCCAAGAGGACATCAAGAAAGGAGATGTCCAAGCTGCCCGGTGGAGGTTTGAAACAGAGCCTCTTGACTCCTTCTCTGGGGGAAAGACTTCTGTGCCCAGAACAGTGGATGACGTGCAGAAGGGAGATGTTCAGTCCAACAAGCAGCTCTTTGAGTCCCAGCAAGTGGGCCAGAAGAAGTATGTGCGGATGGTCAGCGTCAGCGACGTCCAGCGGGGTGATGTGAGGACGTCCACCTGGCTTTTTGAAAACCAGCCTGTGGACTCCCTTCACGGGGATGCGGACAGAAGCTCATCAATCAGTACAGTGCAGAGAGAGGACAGCCAGAAAGGGGACGTGAAACGCTGCACCTGGCTGTTTGAAACCCAGCCCATGGACACCCTTAAGGACACAGAGGTGACAGCCACTGCTGGGGCCCAAGAAGCAATCCCCCGTGCAGATGTGAAAAGCACGACGTGGCTCTTCGAGAGCACACCCCTAGATAAATTCAGTGCTTCTGAAGGTAGTGGGGAAACAGAACTGAAAGAGAGGACTATGAAGGAGACTTTAGAGACACTCTGCACTTGCCAGGCTATTCAGCATGACGGGATCCTCATTGAAGCCAACGATATGGAGAGCGTGAAGATGGTGAAGTACCAGCTCATCACCCCAGGTGCTCCAGAGATCCTGAAAGAAGAGATCGTGGGAGGCCACTTGCAAAGGATCATGCTGCAGCTCCTGCACAGGACCAACGTGGAAGCCCAGAGCGTGCTGGTGGAGGAAGACAGAGAGGGCAAGATCAAAGTAAGCTCACTGCAGCTCTTGGACCAGAGTGAAGCTGTTAAAAGCAAAGAGGACTTGAGTGGAAATGTAGCTAAGGCTCTCCAGGGCCTCCTCAGTCAAGATGCTTCCATCAAAAAGGGGATGGTCTTACAAGAGACAAAGTCAGGCTCAATGAAGATGACCCTCTACTCCCTCCTGTTCCATTCTGTTCAGCAAAAAGTTGTCAAGGGGGATGTGAAGTCAACGATAGGGAACCTGCTGGCTTCTTCTCAGGAACAGAAGGCAACTGCAACTGTTAAGCGTGAGGACAATGAGAAGGGGAACGTCCAGCTTTTTGCGAGCTGCATTGAGAAGGGAGACCTGGACTATCTGAAGAACCTCCAGCAGGAGTCAGAGATACAGTCCCTCATCTCTTCCCAGGCAGAGCAGGGGGTGGATGAAAGTGTCCCACTTGTGCAGGGGGCTAAGATTCATGTCTTAGCAAACAAAGACCAAGCAGAGAAAGTGATTGCTGAGGGAGAGTCAGGGGCCATGGAGGGAGCAAAAAAGGTGTTCGTATGTGAAAGCGTGGGCAAAGAGGGGGCATTACAGAAAGAGGCCATGCATGCAGCGGGTGTGACAGGCGCCACTGTGCAATGTCTTGGGAAGCCCCAGAGCCTGCCCACAGCGATGGGAAAGGAAGAAATTTTGTCAGGGGGGCTTAAAGTAACTACAAAGTCAATTCAAAGGGTTGCGGATGTCAGCAAGAAGGCAGAGAAAGAAGAGTCCACCTCTGCTTCTTTGAAGGAACCCAAAGCTATGACACAAGGCACAACTCAGACCCAAGTGACAGTTGAGAGGGGTGAGGTGGCTGGAGAACACCAGAGTTTGATGACAGGGCCAGCCAGCCAGATGCAGCCAGGAGAAAAGGTCCTTGGGAGCGATCTTCAGGCGGCAATGCAAAGCCTGAGGCTAGCAACAGCAGAAGCAAAAAACATTCAGCACCACGTCCAAAGCAAGCTGCAAAAAAACAGGGAGGAGGTCCACAGGCAGCAGGCAGCCAGCATGCAGGGGACCAAGACCCTTCAGTCAACCATACACCAACAGGACTCTGCATCTACCACGCGGGAGAGCACCAGCACTGCCATCAGAACCACCACCACTAGAGTCCAGGAGGCATCCCAGAGCCACACAAGCATGTCTCAGAAGAGCATAGCGTCACACAAAAAGGTCAGTGCTTCAGAGGAAGTACAGGGAGGACAACTATTGAGCCAGGAAAACCGAGTTGTGCCCAGTAGAGATGTTAGCATTAAGGATGGCCTGTATACTGCCACGCCCGTGAAAACCTATATAAATCCTTTTGTTGAGTCTGATTACAAAGAGCAATCAGTGCAAGAAGAAAGAGATGTTATTATCAGAGGGGATGTACAGACAGCTATCCGAGCACTGCAAAGTGCCGCCACAGAACAGCGCCTGGTAGAAAAGGAGGATGTTGTCCGAGGTAATTTAAAAGCCACACTTCAGTCGCTGGAAAAGTCTAACGTTAATGTCTCCAGAGGGGATTTTAAAGCCGCTATGATATACAGAAATGCAGGGCAGTCCTATTCTGTGTGTAAAAAGAAAAATGAGACTCAAGTCATTAGTAACCAGACAGCTGTAGTGGCTTCAGGGTCGCAGGCTGATAATGACTTTCCTCCTCCTCCTCCAGTTGCTGTGATGAAAGCAGAACATTGCCCACCCTCAGCTAAAGCAACAGGAGAAGGTGCCCTTCCACCGCCAGCCTGCAAAGATGAAGCCCCAGGATGTTCTGCACCAATCCAGACCCCTCTTCCAACCCTCCCTTCTCTGTCCTGCAAACCCAGTGAGCAGAATGCTGCAGAGAAGCCCAAGATTTCTCCAAAATCAGAAATTACTGCCCCACCTAGGAAAAAACCTGTTCCCCCTCCAAAACCTGAGCACCTGTTACACGAGGCATATTGTGCCTCCACGATTAACAGCACAAGCAGATCAACCAAACCTGTCCCTCCACCACTGCCTCCAAAACCTCAAGGCTTGAGGGAGGTCGGCAAGCCAAAGCCTCCCGCTGCAGAGCTGAGATTAGGTTGTGTGGAAGTATGTGAACAATCAGGCCATGTGGAGGGACAGGCAAAATGCTGCACTTTGGAGTCATCCATGGAGAAATCTGTCACGGTTCAGGGTATGAGCCCTGAGAGAAAGCTGCCTAAAGACACTGCCAAAACCCCTCTTCAACTGGCAGAGGAAAGGTACAAAACAAGCAAAGGAAGACAGTGCAAGTCAGAAGTGGACAGTGCTAAGACTTCAAAGCCAGTGCAAAACGGAGTGGTTGGCTTTCAAGTCGAGCAAGGAACGATGAGTGGGAAAGCAGCAGCTCCAGGGAGCTGCCTGGGCAAGGTAGTTCAGAGGCATTCAGAGCTGTATCATCAGGAGGACAGGTTCTCTTCAGTATCACATCCAGCCTGTCCTGGTAGAGCACAGACCCTTAACGTGCCAGGACAGACTGAGCCAAGCACCTCCTCTGTGGGCCGCAGCACTCCTCCAAAGAGAGGAGATGACACCTCAAAAAATGCCTTGCCCAAGGTGGAAAGGGAAAGTGTGTATAATGCTTACATGTCATGGGATAGTCAGAGAGTCACGCAGCAGGTGAGTGAGAGGAGACAAACGAGTCATTCGATGTCCTTCCATCAGCAGCCAGTGAACCCCTCCAAGGAGGAACATCAGGGAAATAGTGGGCAACAGAAATGTCCCGATGGGGAGGCAGAGGCACCTGCTCAGGAGAAGCCAGCAGTGATTATGCGAGAAAAACCCAAGAAAGAAACCGAAGATGAACGTCGGAAGAGGCTGTCGGTACACAAAGAGGAGATCATGAAAGGCAATGTCAAGGAGGCAATGGAGATCTTTGAAAATCTCCGGAGACAGGAGGAACTGCAAGAGATCTTGACCAGGGTGAAGGAGTTTGAAGAGGAGACGAGCAAAGTGGACGTGAAAGCTCTGAGGAGCTTCTTTGAGAAGGTGCCTGACTGGGTGGTTCGTCAGAAGACCACCCAGGCCAAACAACAGGATAGGGCTGAGACACAGGCAAAGGACGATGCTGACAGCGTCTCCTCAGTAGAGCTGGTTTTTGGGGACCTGGAGAGAGCAAGTGCTGAGATTATCCACCTGAAGGAACAGACACTCGCCCGACTCCTGGACATTGAGGAGGCTATCAAGAAAGCTCTTTATTCTGTCTCTAGTCTCAAGTCTGAGTCAGACATCGCTGGGCTCTCTGGGCTGTTCAAGGAGTCTCTGGGGAACACCCAGAGCTCTGTGAGCAGCAGCAATATCCGCAAAATCAGCATTGTCTCAAGCAAAGCCCGGCAGGATGGAGCCACGGTGGAGACAGGGGAGGCAGCTTCTGGAGGAGGTGCAAAGGTGGCAGAAAAGACCGAGGTAACCAAGTCAGAGCTAGAGGTCCCCCGCCTTGTTCACCCTCGTGTCAGCTCTCCCTCCTCACCTTCCTACATCTCCATCGAGTCTGCTGCCAGGAAACCTGCAGAATCACCCAGGACAGCACATTCTCCACGGGACATGGCCTCCCCAGACTGTCCTGATGCTCCAGGAAAGAGGGATGCTTTTGCTCAGGACGGTTTTAGCTCCTTCAACCATCCATCCGCAGGGTCTGCTGGGCGTGATAAGGCTCCCTTCGAGAAGAAATCAGAGCCCACCCAAACAAACACCGGGCTGAACTCAGTGAAACAGCACAACCTTGGAAACACCAACCACCAGGTCAGTGAGAAAGAGAAGTGCCCTCCGGACACCTCCAAAAACAGCTGTCACTGTGGGATGAAAGGAGGCTTTCCAGAATATTGCTCCCTGAACACCCCCAGCCCACAGAACCCACGGAGGCAGAAAAGCATCTTGGAGCTGCAGACAGGGCCTGATGGGTCCAAACTCTACGGGGCCACCCGGACTGTCACAGAGCAGTACGAGGAAATGGATCAGTTTGGCAACAAGATCATCACTTCGTCCACCACCGTCACCAAGCAGTCTGAGACACAAACATCCTCCACCTGCGACGTGGTCTCGCACCCCCGATATGAGGTATCTGCCTCACCCCTGTTTCGGAGGTATGTGAAGAGCCCGGGTGAAGATTTCCACACCAACGGCAGCTTCCAGGAGCCAGGAGTGGTCTTCGTCACCTTTGGCAACTCCAAGCCAAAGAAATAGAAGATCATGAATGGCAAGAGAGAATGGTGTAAAGAAGAAAAAAGAAAGTCCACAATTAAAAAAAAACAACAATTCTCCTAGTTTATCCATGTTATACACAGGGATTCATCTACACCCTAAGGACTTCTCAGGGTCATCGTCTTGGTGTTTGCCTACAGACAGGACACAGTGACACTGTCTTGACACTGGAGGGGAACAACAAACCTCGCCTGGACAAGCCAACAGACCCGGTGCTGCACCACACCCCAGAGCCCTGACACTGTTAGAAGCACAAGGGAAAAATCCATCCATGGGCATCTTAGGGCAGCTTTTTCCCCTTAAAGTACTATTTTTGGGTGTTGGGGGTGGTTCAGGCTTCTCTGAACTAATTCATAAGAAAGGATAGACAGAATCAGATGAAGAACTAACCAACCTGGTCATTGGCAAACAAATACCTATATGATATCTATCTTTTTTATCTAATTTCAGTACAGAATTGCCGAGAAGGGCATCCTAAACACACATATATGTATATGTACACATACTGACATTGATGGGTGGGTTGGACGGGTTTTCTCTTAGGCGTTAACAAATAAAATAAAATAAAATAAAAAAGGAAAAAAAAAATCTCTAATTGCTGACACTACCACAGGTGGGGGGAGGCATTTAACAGAGTTAATTTCCTAGAAATACTTGATGCTACTGAAAATTGTCACATCAAGCTCTACAGCTATTATCAGTGCTGTTCCTCCAAAGAAAGATTCAAAGAAAGATGCTCTAGATGTGACAGAATTGTTATTGCTTTCCTTTATTTTTAGAATTGTAATTTATTATTCAATATATTCAAAAAAAAAACTTATTTTAGATTTTCCATGCTTTCATACATGTTTATTGTTTAAATTCATTTTGAAACTTTGTAAAGCAATTTTCTTTTTATTATGACTTTGTTTTGTACATTCTCAACTCATGATTTTAGATTTTTTGTGGCTTTTTTTTTTTTTAACTTTTACTGCTGCGTTCCGAAGGTAAACATTACCTCCAAAAATACTTCAGTCTGCTTGACTTTCTTTTGTTCAGTGCTTGTTTCCTTTCAAAGTACCTAAAAATCACCTCCCAATGAACCGGTTGAATCACACATTAAGAGCATTCTGAGTCACTCCAGTGCTTTAGTCTGTGTCTTTGTGATGTGGGTGGGCTATTAGCCCTGTGGCAAGCATTAATGAACCAGCCGCTGCTTGGTGCTGGTACCTCACATCACAGGCTGGCCTCAGTTTGGGAAGGAGATAAGCTAGCCAGGAGTTTGCTCCATGTATGGGAGAATGTGAGGAGCCTACAGAGCCACTGGATGGCTTCTCAGGGGGCTGGGTCCTCGAATCACGGAATCACAGAATCATTAAGGTTGGAAAAGCCCTCCAAGATCATCTGGTCCAACCACCCCCCTACCACCAATGTCACCACTAAGCCATGTCCCCAAGCACCACGTCCAACCTCTCCTTGAACACCCCCAGGGACGGTGACACCACCACCTCCCTGGGCAACCCGTCCCAGTGCCTGACTGCTCTTTCTGAGCAGAAATGTCTCCTCATTTCCAGCCTGAACATCCCCTGGCACAACCTGAGGCCATTCCCTCTGGTCCTATCACTGGTTACCGATGAGAAGAGGTCAACTCCTAGCTACCACCAGCCTCAAGCTACTGACTTCTGGGTCTGTGTGTAGACTTTCTGGTTGATCTACTCCATCTCTCAGTGCACCATTTTACCTTTCAGCAAAAAGGGACGATAAGCTCATTAAAAAAAAAAAAAAAAAAAAGTTTCAGTGAAACATTATGGTTAATAATTCTTTTTTTTTTTTCCTCTGAGGAAAAAGAGCTCTCACTAATGACTGAGGAGCAGGACAATGGGGAAGGGGGATGGTTTCAGAGCATACCACTTCATATCACTCAGTTCATAGCTAGGTTTTTAAATAGCAGATATCATCTCACACCACGCAATACCTTGTCCAAGGTGTTGTAGACTAGACAGGTAGATTAAATCTAAAATTGTTATTAGCCCTGGGGGAAATGCAAGATCATAATACATAACCTCTTCAACATCCCTGAAGGATTTTTACTAAGATTAAAATTATGAAAAATGTGTTAAGAACAAATAGTACCTCTCTGGTGATGCCTTGGCATTGCTGACTGAGAAAACTGGGGAAGATCTGTCATCATTCACAGAGGGTTTAAGTCTAAGAGTGGTAAACCCTGAATAGCAGTGGTTGAAAACACATTCCTACCATAACAGGTTCCTGGCAGTTTTGTCTGAGCTTTCTTGGCCCTTAGAAATGTTCTTGAGGAGGATAAAGAAAAAATGGTTTGAGCTGCAGAAGTTCTGCTTCCCCGTAGAAAAGCAGGCAAGTACCCAGAGCTCTTTGGTGTGCTTCTAGGACCACAGAAGCTGGAACGTGGCACATGCTGAAAGAAAATTAAGAATGTTGTTTTCTGTTCTGCCAAAGAATATACCAAAGGTTGAGGTAAAAGAGCAGATCACCATAAACTGAATTTCTCTGGTTTCAGGGAATCAGAACAAATAACTGCTCAAACCTCCCCAATTCTTTTAGTAGGACCAATTGTAGAAATGGGAGAATTGGCAATTCTGAGTTCCTCCTCGTTTTTTTTTTCTACCACCACCTTTTTATAATCTTAGTTTGTTTCAGGACACCAGTAACATGTTTGTTTCATCTCTTTTTAAGGACAGACACAGAGCAGTTTTAGTAAGCTCCAAACAGGTTGTTTGGGCAATGAAAATGATTCCACAGGAACTCAAATAAACCCGAATATCCTGCACTGCCAGAGCTTAAAAATAGTGATCTTATTGTTTGTGCTTCTGGTTCTACACTGTTTCTAAATATCTCAATGAGCCATTTATGAGGCTAAGATTATTTGAGATGCATTTTTTTCATGGTATTTCCATCAGCTAGGAACCAAAATATCATGAGGAGACAGATGCTGCATTATTTCAGCACCATGCATGGCTCCTCAAAGCACTGAAAGAGATGGAGAAAAATAAAATACAAAGATTTGAAACTCAAGTATAAGTTGAAGCTTGCAAGGTCTCTACCAAAACAGCAGAGTACATACAAACTTCAAAATACCAGATGAGTTGCCATAGGTTTCCGGGATCTTTGGATACAACGTGATATTGTTCACGATTCTTTGTCCTAGCAGGTCACTGTATTCTCACACAGTTTGTTTTAGGCAGATATTTTCAAGAGCAAATTGGTTGGATGAACTACTTGTAACAGTGGACAGGGGACAGATGACCTTGTCTTGGCCATACCTCTGGCTGGTCACAGGAGAAATTTAGCTGCCGATCCAGCTCATGAAATAGTAGCCATGAAATGTGCCACATTTGAAGTTAAGTGCCCATGTTGAGTACAATCCGTCCCAACTTCATTTCAGCCACTGGTCTCCGTTAAAATGCTTAATCTTAGGGCAGAGAGCTTGGTGCTCACAGTCTTCTCCACCCACTGATAACAAAAACATTTTTCAGGCTGATACTTTCCTACCATAAAGATTTTAATGTACCTAGAAAACAAACAAATAAACAAGCAAACAGACATCAAATGATGAGATATAAGCCAGCTGCCACCTTCAGCGTGGCAGCAATCAGCAGCGTACTGAAAGCCTTCCAGCAATAATCCGTCACCATTTTTCAAAGTCTTAAGATAATTTCCTTGCCCACAGTGCCATTTGATGGCTGCTAATCACCTCCCCATCTACCAAACCGTTAGTGAGGCTTATGCCTGGGGCTGGTAAAAATACCTCTGAAGACCAGGAGTATTTGCCACGCATCAGTGAGCACTTAAAATAAATTTCCCTGGTGTCCTCCCTATAAAAGATTTTATCCTGCATCCCCTATAAAAGATTACCCCACTTTGGGAACACGCTGCAGGAGTACATGTATTTATTCACAGCTACGAGCAGAGTGATCTTGTTTATTTGCTAAACAGCTCGGCTTCCTTCCTTGGTCATGATTAAAGGAAAACATTATTTTTTATATGGCAGAAACACGTCAATAGTTACACGCTGCTCTGCCAGAACACACCTTGGTGCTCCACGAGAGCTCATCACTGTCAAATGTTTGCAATACTACCTAGATGTAACCGTGATCTGTATCACAAAATACATCAAAACAGCTGGATGCAAATCAGTCCAGTGACTGAAATTTATTATGGCAAGGATCAGCACTCCATCATCACAAGTGATGCTGTGTTTATGCCCATCACCTCTCCCTGGTTTTTGCCAAATAGCCTGCTTGTTTCCTCCAGTGAGCCAACATCTGTGCCAAAGATGCAGAGCTTCAATTTCCCTTTGAGAGACCCACGAACACGGTATCACTTCCCGTCTGTATCCTGCTACCATTTTCCACTTGGAACATCTAGCTCTTTGCACAAAAGCACATTTCAGCTTCACCTTCACCAGCCCTGCCCTCCCTTTGGCATCAGCACAGTTCTGCAGCCACGTTGGTGAAATTTATCTTGCCTAATTGTCTAATTCTCTCCAGCTGTATGGGCCTTATTTTATTGTAGCTTTATCCCCTTCTAGATTTCATTAGCTGGGTCTTCACTGAGTGTACTGTGAGCTTAGACACTTATTACATATGTATGTGACAGGACGATGGTCTCCTCATTATAGAGGATCTGGAAACGCAGAGGTATGTTGAGATCATTGAAGGCTGAAGAGAAGATGGAGCTTTTGTTTGGATTCTTCCATCTAGACAGAGGGAAAAACTAAAGACATTAAATTCTTCTTCTTGAAAGTGTTGGAAACCAAAGATGACTTGACTGCACTGGTCTGTTCAGCCAAAAAAAAAAAAAAAAAAAAAGAGGTAATTAAAATATTTACGTCCACACAGGCACACATTCCAAGTGTCTGCTGCAAGTAAAAGAAAGTGCTCTGGTTTCCTTGTTAGCTCATCTCTCGAGATATGCTGTGTGTTTCTGATGCAAAAATATCTTTCATGCTTCCTCTGTTCAAGTCTAAAATCTGGCCATCAGCCCACACCGCATAAGAGCAGGAAATTAAATTTGCCTGTTCTCTAAGCTGA